CTATAGCATGTATACTACTTTTATTCTTAGCGTCTTCATTTCCAGCATTCATATTCACCCTATAGTATATATATATCCCATAATATATATCCTATAGCATGCATATGACTTTCGCTCTTAACATCCTCGTTTCTCTTCTGTCGTATTCATCCTTAATCTTATTCACCGAGTTATACTCCATACCACATCGGGCAGATCTAGTTATATACCACATTGGGCAGGTCTAGTTATTATCCATACCACATCGGGCATGTCTAGTTATACTCCATACCACATCGGGCAGGTCTAGTCATACTCCATACCACATCAGGCAGGTCTAGTTATACTCCATACCACATCGGGCAGATCTAATTATACTCCATACCACATCGGGCAGGTCTAGTTATAATCCATACCACATCGGGCAGGTCTAGTTATTATCCATACCACATCGGGCAGGTCTAGTTATACTCCATACCACATCGGGCAGGTCTAGTCATACTCCATACTACATCGGGCATGTCTAGTTATACTCCATACCACATCGGGCAGGTCTAGTCATACTCCATACCACATCGGGTAGGTCTAGTCATACTCCATACCACATTGGGCATGTCTAGTTATCCTCCATACCACATCGGGCAGGTCTAGTTATTATCCATACCACATCGGGCAGGTCTAGTTCACAATACTTCACTACCATTCCCGGTACGATACAATAACAGTCCACTACCACTCCGGGTAGGACACAATAAATAGTTCACTACCACTCCGGGTAGGACACAATAAACAGTTCACTACCACTTCGGGTAGGACACAATAAACAGTTCACTACCACTCCGGGTAGGACACAATAAACAGTTCACTACCAGTCCAGGTAGGACACAATAAACAGTTCACTACCACTCCGGGTAGGACACAATAAACCACTACCCCCTCGGGTAGGGTATCAACAATAAACCACTACCTCTCCGGGTAGTGTATCAACAGTAAACCACTACCTCTCCGGGTAGTGTAACAACAATAAACCACTACCTCTCCGGGTAGTGTAACAACAATAAACTTACCAACACTTTACCTCTTTCACATACCTCATTCACATCAGTAAGTATGAATTAGAGCCACTTATCCCTTACCTTGGTGAGTGTTGGGGATCGGTTCCGGGTAACTTTAAAAGTCTCCTTCGCGATTCCCTCCAACCTTAGGATCTTTCCTCATTTCCACCAATAACAACAATGTCAGTCATATATTTAAAATAACACATAAATAACTCGTATTTCATCATCAAACATACAAGGGATTCACATACATTCAAGATCTCCAAAACTACTTCAATATAATTTTTCAAACATCTAAGCATACATGTTCATCTCTTTCTCTTTATACCCATATTCTCATTTTGGGGTTTTCATGAATAACCCACATAACCTTTCCATTCATCAAATACCAACTCTAAGCCATGAGTTTACAAGAGAAAGACACATTAAAACGAACCATAACTCTAAAGGGTGAGTTTCCATGGTTTCTCATGTTTTGAAAATAGATCCAACATACCCAAAACAAGTTAGAGAGGAAGAATAAGAGTTAGAAGCAAGAGGTTTACCTCTTAACCTCTTCTCAAGCTCTAAGATGAGTCCTAAGGCTCCTTGCTCTTAAAAAGCTCTCTTCTCTCTCTTCTCTTCAAGTTGTAACCCTAAAATGTGTTTGGGGTTTCTATTTTAAAGAGCAGTCGTCAGGTTCTCGCTCAAGCGAGCCCATTCTCGCTTAGGCGAGAAAATCCCGCCTCCCTCTCGCTCAAGCAAGGGATTCTCACTCAAGCGAATAAGTGTAATCGATTACCATATGGTATAATCGATTACATCAGTTAAAAATTTAAAATACAAACTCAACGACTTGATGTAATCGATTACCAAACTTGTTGTAATCGATTACAATGTGAAAAATGAACATATCTGATGCTTTTAATATGTTGTAATCGATTACAAGTATAGTGTAATCGATTACATCATGTAAAATTCACAGGTCTGATTAGTTTATCAGCATGTAATCGATTACCGGGATTGTGTAATCGATTACACTGTTTTAAAAAAAACATAATCTCACAATGTCAACAGCCCAAAATTACCATTTCTCGCCCAGGCGAGACAACTCTCGCTCAGGCGAGAATCCTCCAGTATAGCCCCGGATTTCACCCTCCCAGGTGATCCTTTCTCGCTCAGGCGAGAATCTCTCGCTCAAGCGAGGTTTCCAGGACTGCTACTATAATTTTGAAGACTCAAATTTAGGGTGTTACAGGGTCTATTGGAAGGGTACAACCCGTAAATCCTGCATGGGGTGTGGAAGGTTTTGATCCTTTTGTTCCAAAGGGTATATCTTCTCATCATATTGCAGCAGGAACATTAGACATATTGGCGGACCTTTTCCATCTTAGTGTAAGCCCACCCTAACGTCTATACAATGGATTGCGTATGGGAAATATTGAAACTATCCTTTCCAGTAGTATCGTTGCTGTCCTTTTCAACTTTTGTTGTTGCCAGAACTATGTGGTATGGTTCAGCAACCAGGCGATTGAATTGTTTGGTCCCACTCGTTATCAATGGGATCAAGGATATTTCCAACAAGAAATATATCGAAGAGTTGGTGCTGGGATAGCCGGCAAAAAAAAGTTTATCAGAAGCTTGGTCAAAAATTCCCGAAAAATTAGCTTTTTATGATTACATCGGCAATAATCCGAAAAAAGGGGGAATTGTTTAGAGTGGGCTCAATGGATAGTGGAGAGGGAATAGTCGTTGGATGGTTAGGACATCCTATCTTTAAAGATAAAGAGGGTTGTGAACTTTTTGTATGACACATGCCTACTTTTTTGAAGCATTTCCAGTTGTTTTGGTAGACAGAGACAAAATTGTTAGAGCCGATGTTCCTTTTTGAAGGGCTGAGTCGAAGTATAGTGTCGAACAAGTAGGTGTAACAGTTGAGTTCTATGGTGGCGAAATCAATGGAGTCAGTTATAATGATCCCACTATTGTGAAAAAATATGCTAGACATGCTCAATTGGGTGAAATTTTTGAATTAGATCGTGCTACTATGAAATCAGATGGCATTATTCGTATCAGTCTGAGGGGTTGGTTTACTTTTGGGCATGCCTCGTTTGCTCTGCTCTTCTTTTTTTGACACATTAGGCATGGTGCTAGAACCTTGTTCAGAGATGTTGTTGTTGGTATCGACCTAAATTTGGATGCTCAAGTAGAATTTGGAGCTTTCCTAAAACTTGGAGATCCAACTACAAGAAGACAAGTAGTCGGATAGATCATTCTGTTGTTCCTTTTCAACTTTATTTTGTTATGATTTGAATTTGACATAGGGAACCACATAAATAGTTATTTGAATTATTGTGTTTTGTTTTATTCTTCTTCTTTTTTTATCCGGGAGATGACCACCCAAAAAAAAGTTATGAAAGTTATAATTGTAAACCACGATCAAATTTATGGAAGCACTGGTTTATACATTCCTCTTAGTCTCGACTTTAAGAATCATTTTTTTCGCTATCTTTTTTAGAGAACCCCCTAAAGTTCCAACTAAAAAGGTGAAATAAGTTTTAATTATCTGAATTGAAGTAATGAGCCTCCCAATATTGGGAGGCTCATTACTTCAACTAGTCCCAATGTTCTTCGAATGGACCTCTTAGTTTTTGAGAGGATTGCCCAAAATCAGTATATGAGGCATACCTAGTAAAACTTACAAGTAAACAAGATATAGAGATGGCAACTAGGGTTGTTGTTTCCATTATTATATAATTTCAAGACCACAATGGATCTATAGGATAAGATCTTTTATTTACAGCGGAATATTATACAATGTCAACATATCTCAATGAATAAAAAAAATAGGATTTATGGCTACACAAACTGTTGAGGGCAGTTCTAGATATGGTCCAAGACGAACTATTGTAGGGGATTTATTGAAACCATTGAATTCGGAATATGGTAAAAGTAGCTCCGGGGTGGGGATGTACTCCTTTGATGGTTGTTGCAATGACTCTTTTTGCGATATTTCTATCCATTATTTTGGAGATTTATAATTTGTCCATTTTATTGGACGGAATTTTGATGAATTAGATTCACAAAAACTGACTACCTAGATTTTCAATACAAATAAAAGTTAAGCATTATTTAGGTCTTTGATTTTTAGGCCATTCCATTTTTATTTGGTAGTTCGACCGTGAATTTCTTTGTTTCCGTATTTCCGAAATATGAATCTGTGACTTGTTATAATTGATCTTATCCATAGTACATAACATAAAATGAATCTGTCATCTTGATAGAGAATAGATGATTTTACCCCGTCAGATATTTATTCTAGTATCTAGAGCACAAAATATAGAAAATAGATTTTAACGTATTAGAAATATGATTCATAACTTAATATTTGGACCTCGCAACCAGACTAAAAAAATTTCAAAAGGTTGGAAGTTATAATAAATAAATGTATACATTTATTCTTTGAAACCGTCGGCAAATATCTTTATTTTGATCAAAGGACAAACGTTTCTTTGGAGATTTTTTTTAATTATATTTATATCTATTCATTGAATATGTGATAATCCAGCAGTTCTTACTCAGGGAATTTTTGGGCTTAGATTAAAGCTTTTTTTCTTCAATCATCGTGGTTCTGGTATGAATCTGAAGTTTTTTTTAATTGATTCGTAGCGTCTTAACAAGAAAATTCCTATCAATAAGAATAATAAAGACGACAGCAAGGTAAAGTTGCATTCCACACACACAAATCAAAAATAACACAAATAAAAGAAAAAAAATTAAGTAAGATAGAATATTCAAGAGGCCTGTAACGAGCAAGATAAAACTTAGTGAGCTGACTTGAGATTTTGGCATTATAACCACAAAGAATAGCTTTCGGATTTCTATTTTTTTTCTTATCTTCCGAGAAGGTTGCATAGGATTAAGTTAAGAATTTTCTATTACACATATCCGTTTCCGCTACAATCAGTATTTGGGTATTTCTGTTTGAGCCGTACGAGGTGAAATTCTCATATACGGCTCTCGGGGGGGGGGGGGGGGTTCCCTTTGTTTACCTATCTCAATAAAGTTTATGATTGGTTCGAAGAACGTCTTGAGATTCAAGCGATTGCCGACGATATAACTAGTAAATACGTTCCTCCTCATGTCAATATATTTTATTGTTTAGGAGGAATTACACTTACTTGTTTTTTAGTCCAAGTAGCAACAGGATTTGCTATGACTTTTTATTATCGTCCGACCGTTACTGAGGCTTTTGCTTCTGTTCAATATATAATGACTGAGGCTAACTTTGGTTGGTTAATCCGATCAGTTCATCGATGGTCGGCAAGTATGATGGTCTTAATGATGATCCTGCACGTATTTCGGGTGTATCTCACTGGAGGTTTTAAAAAACCTCGCGAATTGACTTGGGTTACGGGTGTTGTTTTGGCTGTATTGACCGCATCTTTTGGTGTAACTGGTTATTCCTTACCTTGGGACCAAATTGGGTATTGGGCAGTAAAAATTGTAACGGGTGTACCAGAAGCTATTCCTGTAATAGGATCGTCTGTAGTGGAGTTATTACGCGGAAGTGCTAGTGTGGGACAATCTACCTTGACTCGTTTTTATAGTTTACATACTTTTGTATTACCTCTTCTTACTGCCGTATTTATGTTAATGCACTTTCCAATGATACGTAAGCAAGGCATTTCCGGTCCTTTATAGAGAGTATAGTCTGGATCGTAGATATTTGTAATCGAGCATTTTTCATTTGGGGGAGGAACAATAGTATTTCACTGCTACAAATATGTCTTATTCTTTTAAATAAGACATATATTTGGATATTTCCCTTCAACTATTCATGTATGTAAAATCAAATAGAAAAAAAATAATCTAATTTTGTTAAGTTGAAGGGAATTCTCCGAAGAAACAATCGATTATGGGAGTGTGTGACTTGAACTATTATTGATTGGAGCACTCATATAATATATATGTGAGTTTATCTGCCACATTTGAATTTACAATTAAATGTGTCTTTGTTCTAACCCCCACGCAAAATCCTCCTATAGACAGATATAACTCGGTTCATTTGAAGAGAATCTTTTCTATGATCAGACTCGACCAATCATGTACTGCATGAACTGGCTCCGTAAGATCCTGTAAAATAAGTGATGTGATATAATCCAGATTATGTCTTATCTCTTTCACTTAACTTAATAGTAGGGAAATGCATTTATTTCCTATGCATTGACTCGATTTATGCTACTATCGGAGTGAAACAAGTAGATCTAAAGAAGAACAGGGGTAAGATTATATTAGTAACAAGTAAAGCCTTTCTATGTAAAATATGTAAAAAGTCCCAAGATTTTTTTGGTAGGGGGATAACAATCGTAACAAGGTATGAGATAACCCATAAAGCACTATCAATTTTTTTAGCATACTTGGGTATTTAGCATTTACTTAATAAAAATTGAATTATAGGAACTCAATTTTTTTCCATGGATATTAATGTAACTCCATAAAAGAGAATCGAGTCCCTTTCTTACACAAAATCCATCCATATCTGGATAACATAGAATTTTGTTCTATGGATACATTAAGTTCGTTTGATTCGTGCTTGAGCCGTATGATGAAAAAGTATCATGTTCAGTTCTTTCGGAGGATGGATCTATAAGACTTCACCTATCCCAATAACAAAAAACCTGACTTGAGTGATCCTGTATTAAGAGCTAACTTGGCTAAAGGAATGGGTCATAATTATTATGGAGAACCCGCATGGCCCAACGATCTTTTATATATTTTTCTAGTAGTCATTCTAGGGGACCCCGCAGATCAATGATTGGGGAACCCGCAGATCCATTTGCATCTCCCTTGGAAATATTGCTTGAATGGTATTTCTTTCCGTATTTCAAATACTTCGTACAGTTCCAAATAAGTTATTGGGCGTTCTTTTAATGGTTTTGGTACCCGCAGGATTATTAACAGTACCCTTTTTGGAGAATGTTAATAAATTTCAAAACCCATTTCGTCGTCCAGTAGCTACAACCGTCTTTTTGATTGGTACCACAATGGCCTTGTGGTTGAGTATTGGAGCAACATTACCTATTGAGAAATCCCTAACTTTAGGTCTTTTTTAAATTGATTCAATTATGAAACAAAAAAATATCATGCCATGTGATTGTGATGTAGATTGTGTATCTAGGGAGAATTGTCTCAAAGTGAATTCTCCCTAGATACATCTGGTCCTGAACTATTTCGAGTATATGGATTTGTGCTAAATATTTAAATCCATTTTTTCATCTTTATTTTCAGAAAAATAAAGATGAAAAAAATACAACGGATTAAAAATTTATGTAAAATGCTTTTCGATTTCTAAAATGTCCAATATATCTTTTACATCTTCTACGCGAAAATGTTCCATTTTCATAAGGTCTTCTTGACTGTTATTCAAAAGGTCAATTAATGTATGTATGTTGGACCTTTTGAGACAATTATAGATTCTGGGAGACAATTCTAATTGGTCAATAAAAATCGATTTCAATGTTATTTCTTTTTTATTTTTCCTTAGTTTCTCAAATAGATCATCAAAAGTAAAAGGTGGTAAATTAACTTTGTGTTGATTGTTTTCTAAATTTAAGTTTTCTTCTTCCACATGCAAAAAAAGGAATAATTAAATCAACCAAATTTCGGGAGCTTCAAAAAGCGCTTCTTTAGGAGTTAAACTTCCATTTGTCCATATTTCGATAAAACATATTTCTTGTTTTTCATTTTTATTCACGTAAGAATGAATACTACGATTTACATTTTGAACAGACATGAATACAACATCTATAGGGTAAGTTCTGTCTTGAAATTTAGTTAGTGTTTTTATGTGGTATTTTCTCAGATTTTGCACGTGTAATACATGTTCCCTCGATTTCTCCGAGTAAAACTCTTCGCATTGCAATGCCTATTGTATCGACTTGACCTTTCATAAGAGGAGACATAATAAAGCGCCCATTGTAAGGACTCAATTTTTCATAACCCAAAAATTCATTTAAACTTTATTCATGAAAGTGAAGTGATTACTTTCTTTTTCTTTTAAAGACATTACTCAAACGATTTAGAAAACCCGATTGAATATATACATATAAGTTCAATTCATTCTTCAGGTGCGGAAATAGTCAATCGTTCACTTCATTAAAAAAATGTCATTACACTTCCTTTCAATTACATAATTTATACAATTATCCCTTTCTCAAATAATAATTAACATTAAAGTATTAAAACCTATACAACGCCTAACCATCAATCATATTCAACATATACCAATCAATCCATTATACCACATAATGTTCATAAATCCATTTAGCATACTCATCATATCTCATTTAGACAATTCATTCAAATCCATATAACAAACCATTGATTCAACTCATTCTTCATCAAAATCACCATACAATAATCTCTTTCGATAAACAACCGCAATGCTATATTTAAGCTATAACACACTTACATATCATCAAAACACCTTTCCATGCTACACAATACTCCCTAAGCAATACTACACCTAAGGAACAAATCATACATTGCTCCAAGAGCCAGTACCACATAGGAAAAGTCTAGAATATAAAGATGATCCACTACCACTTCGGGTAGGTCCTAACCATAAAGGTGGTCCATTACCACACGATAATCCACTACCACTTCAGGTAGGTCCACAACACAAAGATAATCCACTACCACTTCGGGTAGGTCCACAGTACATTTATTACAAACATTTTAATTCATAAACATACCATGTTCGCATCATCTCATATATAATGGAGACACTTATCCCTTACATCTCCTTTCACACAACAACGTAAAACTCACAATATAATCATTTCCCTTGCGTTAATATCATATTAAGGGACTTCACCTTAACACAAAATATCGCATCAATGTCATAAACACAATGCATCTCATATCCTACCACAACAAAACCACTCACAACACCCTCATCACCTAATATAATCATGTCCATTTACCACCAACAAGCAGCTCATCACAAAATCATTATAACAAACATACCCATATGATAGTAGACAAGGGGGGGGGGGGGGGTGCCCTATGATTTGAAGGACAACCCCTTGGAAACTGACATAATGCAATATTGGCACACCATTTTCAGTTACAAATAATAAAGAAATATTCAAGAATATCTTTTAAAGATGAGAAAAAGATTTGTTGAAGATCCATCACATCCAATCTTGCTAATCTTGAGGAATATCTTTTATAGATGAGAAAAATATTTGTTGAAGATCCATGTCATCCAATCTTGCTAATCTTGAAGAATATCTTTTAAAGATTACAAAGATTTGTTGAAGATCCATAACAACCAATCTTGCTAATCTTGAAAAATATCTTTTAAATATGACAAAGATTTGTTGAAGATCCATAACAACCTATCTTCCTAATCTTGAAGAATATCTTTTAATGATCATGCTGAATCAGCCAAGGATATTATCCCTAGGATATGGATTGATATGATCAAATCTTTTGTAAGCCACTTAGCATAATTAGGCTTAGACAATATTTTTTTTTCTTTTGCAATTTCTTTCCTTATATATAAGTTATGAAACACATGGAATAAAACAATTTGAGTTTGAGTTTTTATTTGGATTAAATTCCTTGTTAGTGAGTATTCTCCAAGCTTCTTGGTTGAGCCAATGTTTTGTTCTTATCAAGAATTCCATTCTTGTGGCAAATTTCGCAGGCTTATCAAACACCTTGTGTTTGTGGCGCCATCACCCTTCATACCCCCGCCCATCTTCCTAAAACACTTAGCCAAAATCATCAAACCACCCCTAGAGGTCGTCATCAAGTGGTCATCAGAGCTTAGTCTTTAATTGAAAGCCACCATGTCAGATCCAGAGAATCAAAGTCCACCCTTGTCCCCAAGGACTACAACACTCTATTCCATGATGAATAATCGATTTGAAGCCCTTCAACGGAAAATAGATCAAATAAGAATTGAGGGAGAATCTAGAAACCATGAACATAGAAAGAGAAGGAGGCATAGGAGGGAGAGACATGATGATGGTGATCCAAGGGTTGAGGAT